ACACATAAGCAGTATCGATACTCTCCTTATAACCCTTTGGTTTTTGTCCTTTCACGACATGGCGTATCGGTACTATTCTTGCATTACTTTTACCCTCTGCCTAGAAAACTCTATTTCACTCATTTAAAAATTTTCAAAACACTCCTAAAGTTTCCCTAAGGCCCTCAAATATTGTTTAAAGATTATTTAGTAATTACACGAAAGGTTATTACTTTATACATAAATAACATTAATCCCCCGTTTTCATGTTTTGAACCCCCAAGTGCACACAAATGGCTCATACACACATACAAGCATCAAGACCACACATGCTGACCAACAAGCACCACTTTCTCTTTCCCCTATTTTTGGAGCCTTCACCCACTTCCCTTACTAGAACAAACAATGGAAATGAGTTATTAATTCATCTAGGAGCTTAAGAAAGGTAAGGATGAGATTCCTAAAGCTTAGGAATGATTTAGAGCTTCCCATAATCTCTAAATCACAAAACCCTTCTTAAACCCAACTATGGATACTATGGCCAAACTCTAAGGTTGTGAGCTCAAATTGTAGCTCTAAGGAGGAGGATTTCAAAACCTACCTTCACCAATTCAAATAAAGAAGAATGAACTATAAAAATGTCTTATTTGCTAGTTTCCACTTGAGAAAGAATGCAGAAGAAGAAGGATGGAAGACAATAAAGAAAAAGAGGATTTTTTTTACGTGGGTGACTTCATTCCCATTAAAGATTTTCAGCTTTTAAAAACAAGAGGGTAAATTGTTTTGGTTCTTCTTAGTTTAACTCTAAATCAAAAATACCCTTTTTAACACTAATTGGGCCTCCACCTAAACCCAATCACTTTATTAATGGACATGGGTTTCTGACAGGCTTAATGTGTTTATTTAATTCTCTCTCGGTTAGCACGAAACATCTAACACAGAAATTGGGGCGTTACAACTTTACCCAATTAATTTAATTAATTTGTGTCACTTTGAATTTAAGTCAAACTCTAACAAATCCATTACTTGTTAGGAATTTAAGAGCAAAAAAATAACCAAAGCGATATCAACATAAAATAAGACATGCACAAGAGACAAAATTTAATGTGGTTCGACCTTGCCTACCACTATGGACAAGATGAACAAAAATACACTATAAACGTAGAGAAAACGAAGAGTAAAAATACATGAAATCACAAGTATCCCAAACTTGGTATAGATACCAAAATTCGGTAAAGATACCAAAATCCGATATATCCCAAAACACTCTTCCAACTTCCCTAAAAACTATCACTGCAACATAAGCCCCAAGAGTTATAAAGATTCCAAAAAGAGTTACATCTCTCCAAAATAATTCTCTTTCTCATTACCCTAAAGGCTAAGACATTATCTCTATTTGTGAAGTCAAATACTTGGCCACCTACATTATTAAATAAACTTAATTGACAAGTACTCTTTAACCGCTCATAGGAGGAACTTCATGGGGGTTAGAGGAGTCTTGGCCTCCGCCAACTATTTTTTAAGTATTAATTAATATTAAAATATATAAATATTTGAAAAATAAATAAGGAAAATTTATCGGACTCCCCACAATTAAAAAATTGTATTTATAAAAAATAAAAATATTTAACCTTGTTCTAATAAATTCTTAGTTCCTAAACCACTATAACTATAATAAAATTTAACTTAATCACCAATTATAATTTAGGTCAAAATATAATAGTCCTTTCTTTTGAAATTGTTTCTAATATTTTTAACTAAAAATTTAAACAAAATCTATTTTTTAAAAATATATAAATTCCACAATTTATTTTTAAAATTATGAATATATTTTAAAATTTAAACTTATTAAAAAAATTAAATAGTTAAATCACTTTGCTTAAAAAATAATTTTGTTCTGATCATTGAAATTATTGGATGTCGAAAATTATAAATTATACAAATTTAATCATAAATAATAAATAAAAATATTTATAAAATTTGATGAATTAACAAACTTATAAATTTATAATTTCAAAAATCAAATTTGAATTTCTATATATTTTTAAAAAAAATGTTTTTAGAATTATTAGTTAGAAATGTTGAAAATTTATCAAAAATGAATTTTCATTTACAATTGTGGGTAAATAAGATTATTTGATTAATTTAATATATACCACTTCAGCCCTTAATGACAGTTAAAAATGGTGTATCAATTTTTTAAATTATAAAATTTAATATCTATTATATAACTTTTGAAAATTTAATATCTAAAAAGATTATTTTAGCATAATTTAGTGGTCATCTAAAAAATTTATCCTACATAATTAGTGGATTAATCATGGAGTAATCTTTAATTTTTTTTAATATTTACATAATATAGATAATATAATTTATGGTGTATTTTGATGTGTCATGTTGATTATAACTCGTCATATATAATATATTTTCTTTCATTTTGATTTATGGTTCATACGTCAATATGTCGTGATTATTTAAGTTGAAATGAATTTTATCTTTATTTAATTTTATTTAGATTTTAAATTTTTGTAGCATAAGTTAACAAAGATTTAAAGGGAAATAAAGATATATGCATTTTAAGGTTTTAAGTTCAACTACTATTATTTGTGGGGTTATTCTATTTCTTTCAAGAAGTGTGAGTTTACTAGTTATATTGAAGTTGCCCATATGTATTTATTAGTTTGATCATTTAGCTACTTCTTAAACGGTATATACAAATGTTATATTTGATTAAAATATAAATTATTTTACAACTTTAACTTCTTTATAAAAAATATTCTATATATATTAAAATTTTGTGTAAATTTAAAAAAAAAATACTAAAATCTAATAGTGATTTAGTAGATTAGGATGATTTATTCCTTCTCGGTGACTATGCTTCGAGTGACTATGTATATAAGGGGTGAAAAAAGGATTCAGATTGTTTAGGATGTTAAAGCAACCTAAATTTATCTACAAAGATTTTTAAGAACAACTGTAGACGTTTAGACACTAATTTCATTCGAGTCAGGGTATCAACATCATCATAGGAATTCTCGCATTCAATATTTCAAGTATAATATTTATTCATTTTAGTTGAGCATGTATTATTCATAAGACCTTATCTAGTGATTTAATTATTCAGACTCATTTGATTTATTATGAGTGTTTTGTATAATTAATTTAAATCGTGGAGTTTAATTTTTGCAAACTATTTCAATTCATGTATATATTATTGATTAATCAGATTTCAGTTATCTTGTTTAATTTTGAATAAATTTTATAGGTTGAATTAATGACCTAAATATTATATTCTTGGACATATTGATTTTTTTTTTTGTTACAATAGGACGACCACTGGACAATCAGTGGGTTAAATCATAAGCTAATATAGCTTTGTCTATCATGAGAATATTCTGGACTTCATTCAGAGGTTATTGAAAACACAACAGGTCAAGGAAACCATTTCTTCCAATACGAGCAAGTGCATCAGCTAAAGCATTCGTTTCTCGTTGGATATAGGTTATTTTAACACATTGTTGCTGGTCGATAAGACCTCGAATTCGTCTTATCATATCATTCTCATAAGCTTGCCTTGGATAGTTCAACTTCCTTGCTGTCTCACTATTATCCATTTCCACAATAATGTATCTGTGGCCAAGATTCCAAGCAATACTTGGTCCGTCGAGCACCGTCCAAAGCTTGGCCTAGGGCTGTAAATGAGACGAGACAGATCACGAGCTACTCGAGATCGAATCGATCAAGGCTCGATAAATACTCGGATCGAATGGACTCGACTCGAGCTCGACTCGATTTCTTAACGAGCTGAAACGAGCTACTCGATATTCGACTCGAAAAGCTCGTAAGCAGCTCGAAAAAAATGTTATATTATAATTTTAGATTTTTTAAAATTACATTATTAAAAATACATTATTGATAATTATAAAAATTTAAAAATTTATTAAAAATTCTATAATACAACTAAGACATCTCATCTCTTCTAATTATGTGATAGGGTTTATAGTTTAGGGTTTAGGGTTTAGGGTTTAAGATTCATGATTTATGGTTTATGGTTTAATTTATACACAACTACTTAAAGAAGACAATCCTAAATAGGGACTAAATTATTACCTAAACTAAAGTGTGCTTACACGATAAATGCATGCATATGAATGAAATGCAAATGCACATACATTAAGATGAAACGATATAAAATTAAACCTACTATTAATAACTTAAACTCATATTTTAAAAATGCCATGAAGGACCAAAACAATATAAAACTAAAAATTGGCATACAAAGTAGAAATTACTCATTAAATTAAACAAGCCAACTAAGGGATTACAATGTCAAATAATTAAAATTACAAGACACAATTGAAAACAAGCACAAATTGAAGGAACACTAAAGCAAGATATCTAGGGTAAAAACTCTTACCCTAATTCATTTCCCCCTAATTCATTTCTCCCTCAAAACATTCCATGGCTAAAACTTCCCCCCTCGCCGTTCTCTTTTCAAACCTCGTCCACTCGCACAGCCCTAGCAGAAACCCACAGCCACCGTGGCCTAAACGCTCCCCCAAGACTTCGAGCGACAAAGGCTAGCTCCTATCGACGAGAATGTAAGGTTTTACTTACTGTTCTCTGGCCACTGCTAGTTTTTCTTTCTTTTTCTCGCAACAAAAATCAATAACCCAGATTGAAAATTGAATCCTTTGTTTAGCAGTCTCTTTTATAATAAAGAGAGTTTTCTTAGCAGTCTCATTAAAGTTCCGATCCAAGCTCATTAAAGTTCCGATCCAAGCTCATTAAAGTTTTCTATCTTTTATCCTTTTCTCAGTTGGATTTGGTTTGCCATGTTTGTTTGTTATTTTAAGGTCTAAAGGTTAGCTTCAGCCGTTGAATGTTTTTGTCGTGTTGCAAATGAACGGTTTGTGATGGATAATGTTTTTATTATTATTGTGATGGATAATTTTTTATCTGAAAGAGTATCATAAAACGTATTGGATAAGGCATTTTTTTTAAAAATTATTATTTTCCCTCGCTCTGAAAATCAGAAGAGAATCAGCAGCCGCTCCCCTTTATACGTATCAAACTAAATTTAGAGATGGATTCCCAAATCAAGTTTGCTGTGGTGGTGAAAAATATGGGCAAAACAGGGTCCAGAGGTCAGGTGACTCAAGTGAGAGTCAAGTTTTTGGATGATCATAACCGTTTCATTATGAGGAATGTTAAGGGACCGGTCAGGGAGGGAGATATTCTCACCTTGCTCGAGTCCGAGAGGGAAGCCAGGAGACTTCGTTGAACAGATGTCTCTGTTTTGTTGCAAGTAGCTAGCTATTATGTTCTTAATTTTGTCATTTCTGAAAGGTATCCAAATTTTCTAATCAAGACTTGAATTTGTGGAGACTGCGGTTGTTTTGAATCACCAATTCTTCATCAATTTTTTTTATTATTTTTGGTTGTTTTAATGTTACCCTATTTCTATGGTAGTTTGAAGATAAGGCCAGAGCTGATATGTTCAATTTCGAGTTCGAGTCCGAGCTTGAACCGAGCTCAAATTCGAGTTTGAGTTCGAGCTTGAATCGAGTTCGAGCTTGAATCGAGCTCAAAATCGAGCTTCAATCGAGCTCGAGTCTCGAGTTTCAATCGAACTTCTGAATTTTTTTTTAAGTTCGAGCCTTTTCGAGTTCGAGTCGAGTTTCAATATTTTCTTTCGAGTTCGAGTCGAGCTTGAAAATTTTAGGCTCGCGAGTTTTCGAGTCAAGTCGAGCTTACATTTGAAGTTTTCGAGTTCGAGTCGAGCTCGGCAATACTCGAGCTCGACTCGGCTCGTTTACACCCTTAGCTCGGCCTAGTAAATGGGGCAACGTCGTATGTGCCGATGGTATCCAACTAACCACCTTCCATTACTATCATGAAGGACGCCCCCATTGGCTGCATCCAATGTAGACTGATGAACAGTCATTGGTCTTCTACTTGATGCAATTAACGTTGGGGCTTGCCATAGTTGCTTTTGAGGTTTAAAAGATCTCCATAGTTGTTGCCAGGCCCGTTTATGAGATTTTAGTGGTCTGGGATGAATATAAAAATTAGGCCCCTAATAACAAATTTTACAAAGAATGAATTAAAGAATAATTAAGTGAAAAGTGAAATAAATAATTTAAAAATGTAACTTTAACATCAATGTTAATTTTTTAATGTTGAGTAACAAAAAAGAAACAAAATGTAATGTTAAGTATGATTTTAGAAAAAATTAAATGACCAAAACAGAAATAAAATAATAAATGAATGACTAAATAAATAATTTATTATTTTTAATTATATATAAATTTATAATTTTAATCCCATAACAAATGGGGCCCTGGGCGAGTGCCCCTTTCGCCCATGCTCAGGGACCGGCCTGGTTGTTGCCAGTTTTGATTGCTTTGGTCCAAGTCCACGTTAACTTTATCAATTCGACCAGATCTGTCCATAGAACACGAAGTTGTTCCTTTGCTTCCAAAGCCTCTAAACAAGAATGTCGAACATGTGTCTCCCATAAAGATCAACGTGGTCTCATCCTGCATTATGACAAAGATTAGATTCAAGTCTTTCAAAGAGGTTTGCTGAAAAGAAACTTATTTGAGCCTGGTTTGGTATCAACTGTTCCCAAACGATGCATGTCGCGTGGTTATCCCGGAGGGTGCGCACGATAGATTCCTCGACACTACAAAAGACTGGGCATTTGGGGATTCGAAGTTAAACCTCTCCTAGCTCGTGCAGAGTTGGTCATGACTTTTTGATGGAGAACCAACCACAGGAAATGCTTAACGCGTTAAGGGCCATCGTAATTCCAAGCCATGTTTCAGGTTTTATCTTGAACATTCCACCGATCATGTTGTAAGCAGGTGTAAGCAGACTTGACAATACATTCCCAGTTTGCTCCCAACGGTAATAGGCCAATCTTCGCCTAAACCGTCATGAGGAGGGTAGTAATGACCCACTTGAAAGTTTCTTCATCTAGGGCTTGCTTAAGGAGATGGTGGTTCCAATTTCCATCATTCATGGCGTAGTCTCGAACGGTCGCTTGGCCAGTGGACGTAGACGGTAGATTTGCAGGCACCATAATCGGGTATCGCCCAGGAATCTAAACATCCTTCCAGAAGAGGGTGCTTATCCCATTACCTATTGACTAATAAATATATTTAAGAATGAGTTTCCAATTGCGTGATAAAGATTTTCAAATGAAAGAACCATTTTTAGCATCAATATGGATAGGCATACTTCCCTCAATACAATACTTTGACTTGAGAACCTAAACCCATAAGGCATCAGGGTGCATAATAAGATTGTACCCCAAATTCACCAGAGAAGCTTCATTTTGGGTATGGAGCGATCTTATGCCAATTCCCCCATGAGTGAATGGTTGACAACAATCATTCCAACTAACCAAAACAACTTTTTAGAATTGCTTGATCCACCTCAAATGAAACCGCAAACGATTTTTTCAATATGGTCACAAACACCTTTAGGAATGACCACCATCTGCATGAAATAATTCGGAAGAGATAGGAGGGTAGCTTTTGCAAGTGTCACACGACCCGCCATGGAAAGCTTTGTAGACGCCCAATTACTAAGCTTGTTGCACACCTTGTCAATTATAAATTGAAAAGTAATCTGAGTGACCCTGTCATGAAAAAGAGACATACCCAAATATTTACCAAGGTCATTGGATTGTTGGAATCCAAAACTATTACAGATGCTATATCCAAAGTATCATTGATATTGGCCGAAAAGAACACCTTCGTTTTATTTGAATTAGCCTTATGGCTAGAGAACCTACTGAATTGGTCACAAGAGTGGCTCCCAGATGATTGGCATGATAATTGATGCTTTGCATAGAAGGATAAGGTCATCAGAAAAAAAAAAAAAAAAAAAGGTGCGATAACTACGGTCCTCCAAAAGATAAAATCATCAAATCTTATGAATCAAAATCCATAGCATACTGGATACTGTGAGTAAGACACTCCATACAGAGAACAAAAAGATAAGGTGGGGAGGGTGCATCCTTGACAAATACCTCAAGACGGTTCAAACTCCTCAATTAGAGAGTTGTTCTAAAGAATTTGAGTAGTAGCAATGGAGCAGTCTCCATAATGGTCCGATGAACATTTTCGGGACAACCCATGTCCTTGAGAGAGTCAGAGAGAAAATATCATTTAACTTGGTTGTAGACCTTCTCTAAGTCCACTTTAACGGCCATCCATAGTGGAGCAGTCTCCATTATGATCCGATGAATATTTTCTTTATCATAGAATGGATGATTTCTTACACTAAGATGATGTTATCCGTAATATTGTGACCCTCAAACGAAGTTAGCTTGGTTAGGTGTAATAATCTTCAAAAAATAAATTTGAATATATTGGTGATAATTTACATCACTAATTTATATAATACCGAGCATAAACTGATAGGTCGGAACTCTGCTAAAGTTTCTGGATTGTCCACTTTGGAGATGAGAAACAACAGAATCTTAATAAAATCCAGTTATATGAAATTACCTTCAAAGATTTCTTTGACCCAAGAGCAGATTGACGACCCTACCATATGCCACTGACTTTTAAAGAAGAGGCCATTCAAACAATCTTTACCAGGATATTTAAAAGGAGTCGTTCCGAACATAACCCTCTTGACTTCCTCATTCGAAACAATCGATACATGTTCTAATCCATTTGGGAAATCTAAGCAAGGTGCCTCTAATGGGATAATTATCTGAAACACTACCATCATCCCTGTAGAGAGCCGCAAAGAAGGTTATAGCTTCCCTACAAAAGGTGGCTTCATCAAAACACCACTCTGCGCTATCGAGTTTCAACACTTGGATTTGATCGGTTTTGTGATGACTTTTCGTAACGTCCCGTAAAATTGAAAAAAAAAATCAATTTTAAGGGATTCGTTTAGACGAAAATTGGGTTTTCCTTTTAAAATTGAAAAAAATGGTTTAAGGGAGTCGTTACCAATATTAGGGTGTGATTGGATCACCTAAAAATATTTGTTATTATTAAAATAACTTTTGATCTATTTTTTCAGAAAATGAGTTCGAAAGTCGATTACATGTGAGGAATGATTAGCACCCCACAACGCCCGAAAATCGATATATTATTGTCTTTACAATGGAATTTATCAATTCAAATTTTAATTTAAACACTGATCCCTTTTTTCATTAAATAATTACAACCTTATTTTACCTATTAAAATTTAAGAGATGAAATTAACAAATTGTGCATTCAACGGTGCAAGTTAACCACCTAATGCAAGGTAGAGTGACATCCCTCTCATTTCCAACTAAATCACGTGAATCACTATTTTTTTTTCTTGAAATTTTTCAGTTAAATTGTTAAAATTTCACCATTTCAAACCAAAGGGAAACACCGTCTAATATAAGATAGAGTGGTGTTTTTCCCTTATTTGGAAAGAAATAAGAAATACTATAGCCATTGTATTTATTTATCTAAGGTTATAAAATAAACAAAATTTTATTTATCAAAATTATCGGGTCTTTAAGATAGATAAAGAATATTCAAATATTTATAAGTATCGAAATTAAACTACCGAATAGGGTCAAGTGACTCTTTTTCAATAAATCTAAATATGAGAATATTTATGTTTCTACACTTCTGATTAATTTTAAGATATCATTATTTATCTAAGGTTATAAGTATCAGATAAGATCTCGTATCTCAATCCAGTTTTATTAAGAATCTTAGTTAGATCTGATTTTTTTCGCACTATCTGTTTAGGTTCACCGTTGGTGCTTCTCAACGATCATCCATGGATTGTACTGCTCATTTTTCAACAAGGGCTTGACCGTATGAGAATTAGCGTCAGTTTGGTTCGAATCATTGGCCATCTGACCCTCTTGGGGAAGGGTGGAGGAAACGGTAAAACCAAAACAAGGATTGCTCTCCTCCTAAGACTTGGGAACGTGAGGACAACCATCTTTGAGGTGGTCAAATCAGCCACAGGAGAAACAAACGAGATGGAGGTTTTCATACTCGACCACTTGAATTTTGTTTCCAACCACTATCTCTGACACGAGAGATTTTTAAGGTTGATATACACAGTAATTCTGATGAATATCATTATTGGTGGTATTGTGAAGATCTAACTTGGTCATCTTACCAGCTAAAGTGCCTATGTCGTGCCAGATTTTCCTCTTGAACATTTATTCAAGTAGCGCAAGAAAACGTATACAGGCGATCACGTTCGTGGGATATAGGTGTGAAGTCCAGAAGTTTATCGACCTTGATTGGACGGTTAAATATTGACCATATAATCCACGACCCCTCGGCGAGGACTTTCCCTTAGTCTTCCTCGTTTTGGAACCCTGCCAAGAAATACCCGTTCTCCATGTCCATCGGGGTGAATGGTTGGGAAGGTTTCCAGATGGCATAAGTTTTGTTTGTAAGAGCATGTAAATTTATGTTTCGACCCAGGAGTTTGAGAATCACAGTTCGAGCCATACTTGATTCCATAAGTATATCGGTTAGATCTGAGAATTGGATCGATGGCAGCCCAAATTTGGTTCCTATTATGAAGTCCTCGTTCGAGATATTGATATCATCTTCCTTTGTGTTATGATACGCAGACTGAGTAGAAGCCTCGCCACATTTTCCTATAAGGACTGAAGCATATGAGAGTTATGGTTCCACTGGCGCCCCACCTTGAGTGTCCACTTGCATTTCCTCGTTGTATCCAATTCTCCTTGTCGACTCAGCTTCGATCGCATGATTTAAATCTTTAAATCTAATCTTTTTCATGTCATCGGAGTGTCGACACTGTCGAGAGCGTTTCCCATTGACGAAGCCACCTTACGGATGGGAAAGGCAGCTGCCCCCTTAACATTGACGGGCAAACTATATTTTAAGCCATTGGAGATTTTGAAACTATTACAATCAAGTCCTTATCCCCTCAAATTTCTTGGTATAGTTATTTTAGGGATATTGTTAGTTTTACAATTAATAGAATTAATTCTTGACACAAAGTTTATATGATTTAATTATTTTTTTTAAGAAATTTAAATTTTAAAATTACTAGAATTAAACCCTCAATCTCTTTTTTTCCATTAATTTGGAGTAAGTACAGGGGATGTTTAAAGATAACTCTCAACTAATTGATATTGAACGCTCATGCCCCTAGTATTCCTGATACTCAAACTCGTGACCTTAAGGAATAACAATAGTTCCTTTACCACTGTGGTCGCTTGATTCGTACTTTATGATTTAATTATTTTATAATATCCTATTTATTTTAAAATTAATCAACTTATCTCAAGAATTCAAATTGCAGTTATGATAACCCTTTTGGTTGCGTTGCGTTTATCACGATTATGCCAATAGCAGATGCTATTATGGGTATCCCGATTGCTCAATAATGATTCCATTCCCATTGAAGTAGTTTAGAGTATTTTCAAGTTTTGACGCGTTGTATTTCAGATTACTGGTGTTGCACTATTTTTTCTATAATTTTGAAACATCAAATGAAACAAACATAATAATATATCCTCAATGCATCGATACCTTCAAATAAGTTTTTAAATTATAATTCTCAACAAAAAAAAAATATTATTATACAAAGAGGTCATGTTATTTGCATGATGATTTTGATTACGTCCTTGCATGTTTTGAATGTGCCACAAAGTTTCTAAAAGTTTTAATCTAATACTATTTCTTTTTTAGTTTTCAAATGACGTCTTTTGTCTGTGTAAAAATTTTAAAGTAGATAGTGAGTGTTACATGGTGTATAGCTGATGGGAATCTAGATAATTCCTAATTTATTGTATAATTTATAAGGATTAACTAGATTGTTGATTGTCACTATCATTTTTCATATCCTAAAAATCGGGTTAATTGTCAAACATCCAAAATTTTGATATAGCAACGGAAAAGTTTAACAAAAAATTAAATTATTAATTATAAAATAATTGTAAATGAGCTCCAAGCCTCCAAGAGCGAAAAAGATTTGAATATGTCTCTTGGACAAGTTAGGATTAAAATGAATTTTAATTTGCAGATTAAATCAAAATGAAATTACATGATAATAATTAATAAAGTTGATTTTTCGGTTAGGGACCAATTTCCGAAGCAGTTAAACTTGGAGGTTTAAAGAATGAATTAGATCACTTTTTTTAAGATAGGAGAGCATTTTTTAGTATTTTATTCAAGAATGGTTAAATTGGCTAATTTCATTACACTGTAACGAATTATATGAACTAATTACACTAAAATAAATTGAGGGAAAGACAATAAAGTTTTAAGGGTAAATTTTCTATTTGGTCAAACAACCGTTATTTTTTACAAAAAATTAACGGTGATGTTAACTTGTTATCATAAGCTAATCCCACATCAACGTTGAAAACTAATTAAAAATGTCACATCAACATCAACATCATCATTAATTTGTTTAATGGATGATGATCAAAACAAAATCAAAACGTAAAGTTAAGCATGGTTTTGAAAAAAAAATAATAGTTTAGTGACTAAACTCGAAACTAAGTGACATGTGGGTGACCAAATAGGTAGTTAATCCATGGTTTAATTACAATACCTTATTAGCAGCTTGCCTCCTTGGTTTACCATATTTGTTGTAGTCATGCTAGTCGTCAATTAATTTTGGTTTAAAAAATGATATTTCTTAATATGGTATATAATTGCTGTATAACAAACTTATTAATTTATAGTAAGTCACTATAAATGAGATATTATAATTGAACTAATAATTACATACCATGTTAGGAATATAAATATTTGAGACAGTTAACGAGAAGAATAATATTAGTATATTACCTTTTTTCCTTTAACTATTGGAAACGTTGCTTATTATAACGTTACACCTTTAATAATTACCAACACATTATTTTCACTTGGTCCAACTCTTTCATATAACGTCTACTATCGTAAAATGAGTCATACAATTTATGCGTAACAAATTACACTATATGTTAAAGTTCAAAATATTTTTTCAAAGGTAAATTCATTATTATCCAAAAAATCAATATTTCATATTAGCCTCTATAATTCATTAAGTAACTTGAGTAATAATAAAGAGTTTATTATTTTAAAAGATTCAAATTTAAAAGTTGTGCCGATAAGGTATGTGTATTATCAATAGGCTAAGAAAAATTGTAAACATATATCACCTTGCAATAATTTCATATTACTAAAAAAAAATACTCACATTCAATTTTAGTGATACACAAAATCGAAACAACCCCGAAAGTTGAACGGATAATCAAAATAAAAAAATCAATATCGATCGATTTAAATTTAGATTTAAATAATTATTTTATTTCATGTAATTCAAATTAAAATTGTTGGAACATTGTTGCGGAAGACGACTATCGGATAGAGCAAAATCGCAACTGATAATTTGAGAAAATAAAAATGAAGATAAAAGAGACACAAAATTTACGTGGAAAACCCCTAAAAATTTAGGGTAAAAACCACGGGCAACGGTAGAAGAATTTCACTATGAGAAAATAGGAATTACAACTTCTCTCTATCGACCAAGGAGAAAACAATGATAATTCTCTCTTGATAAAAAGGAGAAAAACAACTCTCAAGAAACTCTCTAAATTCTCTCTAGTATTGGAAGAAAGCTAGAATGCTTTGGGATAGTTTTGAAGCTAAATGGGATAGGGTATTTATAGCTAAATCTTAAGGACTTAATCTTCTAAATACCCTAAATTTTAGTGACTAAATGTTGTAATTATCCCTTGCATAATTCAACAAAAATAATAATTAAAAAATAAATAAAAGCAGCCTAAAGCAGCCGGCTGCTATTTGATTTTTCAACAATCTCCCACTTGAAGATTTGATTGGAACAATCATATCTTCACATCATTCTTTCTACCTTGTACCTTCATGTTGCTTACGTCTCTGATAGGCCACAAGAGGATCGACACCAAGTAAATTTGTCGGCATTGATCGCCTTCGTCATGAAATCTGCTATGTTGTCTTTGGTATGGATCTTCTGTATATCTATTGTCCCTTCTTCCACCTTTTCACGAATGAAATGGTATTGAACTCGTATGTGCTTTGTCCTTGAATGAAATTTTGGATTCTTTGCTAAATGCAAGGCGCTTTGACTGTCACAAAACAGAGAGACATACTCTTGATTGTGCCCAAGCTCCTCCAATAGCATCTTCAACCAAAGACAACATAGCAGATTTCATGACGAAGGCGATCAATGCAGAAAAATTTACTTGGTGATGTCTTCTCACACGATCTGAATGACGAGTTGTTGGAGTTTTAGAACACTCTGGTTCTTGTTCATCATGTGCTGGTTCTGCTTTAGAAGAATCTCCTTGTTCAACCTCCTTTTCCACATGTATATGTGTAGTCTCTGACTTTTCAGCGCTATCATCGTCTTCTTTTCTTTGTAGCTTATCTTCTACAAAGATAACATCCCTGCTAATGATCACTTTGCGGGCAGTGGGATCCCACAAGCGATACCCCTTTACACCATCAGCATACCCCAAGAATTTGCATTTCCTGGATTTTGGATCTAGCTTTGAAATTTCTTGGGGGTTGTACATCACGTACACAATACTTCCAAATACATGGAGGTTTGAATAATCAGCTGGTTTATCAGTCCACATCTCCATTGGTGTCTTCAGCTCTATTGCAGTTGATGGAACTCGTTTCACCAAATAACAGGCGGTATTGACTACTTCTGCCCAGAATGATTTTTCTAGGCCTGCATCCCTCAACATTGCTCTTGTTCTTTCTAACAAGGTTCTGTTCATCTGCTCTGCCACTCCATTTTGTTGAGGAGTGTTCGCCACTGTGAACTGTCTTTTGATGCCTTCTTTCTTGCAAAAGTCATCAAATTCTTCGCTTGTGTATTCTCCTCCATTATCTGTTCTGAAACACTTGATCTTATTTCCAGAATCAAGTTCCACCCGCGCTTTGAAGTTTTTGAAAGTGGAAAACACATCTGACTTCTTCTTAATAGGGTACACCCAACATCACCTGGAGTAGTCATCAATAAATGAGACAAAGTACTTTGCTCCGCCTAGGGATGTAACTGGTGCTTTCCATACGTCAGAGTGAACCAATTCTAGAACACTTTTTCCTCTAGAATTTGATGTGTTGAATTTTAACCGGTGCTGCTTACTTGTTATACAATTCTCACACAAAGGAAGTTCGATGATGTTGCAGCTGCTGTTCTACAAGAAGAAAATTGGCGCAAGAACAAGGAAGACAGACAAGTAAATCTGCAACAAGCAGAAGCGTTGACAACGACGAGAGGGAGATCAACAGAACGTGGCCAAAGCAGTAGTCACAAATATGGTAGATCGAAGTCCAGAAGCAAAAAGAATTTAAAGTGCTACCACTGTGGAAAGAAGGGTCACTTGAAGAAGGATTGTTGGAGTCTCAATAAAAACTCCAATCCACAAGGCAATACCGCAAACACTTCAGATGATGGAGATGCTCTATGCTGTGAAGCGTCAACCACCGTGGAAGGTAGAAAGAAATATGCAGATATATTGTTCATTGATTCAGGAGCAACATATCACATGACCTCAAGAAGAGAATGATTCCATCATTATGAACCTGTCTCAGGAGGGTCTGTGTATAGTTGCAATGATCATGCCTTAGAGATCGTTGGCGTGGGAACCATCAAATTGAAGATGTATGATGGAACAATTAAAGTTGTTCGAGATGTGCGGCACGTGAAAGGCCTGAAGAAAAATTTATTATCCTACGGATTGTTGGATAATAATGCTAGCAAGATTGAAACACAGAAAGGAATCATGAAGGTACAAGGTAGAAAGAATGATGTGAAGATATGATTGTTCCAATCAAATCTTCAAGTGGGAGATTGTTGAAAAATCAAATAGCAGCCGGCTACTTTTATTTATTTTTTAATTATTATTTTTGTTGAATTATGCAAGGGATAATTACAACATTTAGTCACTAAAATTTAGGGTATTTACAAGATTAAGTCCTTAAGATTTAGCTATAAATACCCTATCCCATTTAGCTTCAAAACCATCCCAAAGCATTCTAGCTTTCTTCCAATACTAGAGAGAATTTAGAGAGTTTCTTGAGAGTTGTTTTTCTCCTTTTTATCAAGAGAGAATTATCATTGTTTTCTCCTTGGTCGATAGAGAGAAGTTGTTATTCCTATTTTCTCATAGTGAAATTCTTCTACCGTTGCCCGTGGTTTTTACCCTAAATTTTTAGGGGTTTCCACGTAAATTTTGTGTCTCTTTTATCTTCATTTTTATTTCCTCAAATTATCAGTTGCGATTTTAATCTATCCGATAGCCGTTTAAAAAATAAATAAAAGCAGCCTAAAGCAGCCTAGCTTTCTTCCAATACTAGAGAGAATTTAGAGAGTTTCTTGAGAGTTGTTTTTCTCTTTTTTATCAAGAGAGAATTATCATTGTTTTCTCCTTGGTCGATAGAGAGAAGTTGTAATTCATATTTTCTCATAGTGAAATTCTTCTACCGTTGCCCGTGGTTTTTACCCTAAATTTTAGGGGTTTTTCACGTAAAATTTGTGTCTCTTTTATCTTCATTTTTATTTTTGCGGAATACGGCTATCTGATAGAGCAAAATCGCAACTGATAATTTGAGAAAATAAAAATGAAGATAAAAGAGACACAAAATTTACGTGGAAAACCCCTAAAAATTTAGGGTAAAAACCACGGGCAACGGTAGAAGAATTTCACTATGAGAAAATAGGAATTACAACTTCTCTCTATCGACCAAGGAGAAAACAATGATAATTCTCTCTTGATAAAAAGGAGAAAAACAACTCTCAAGAAACTCTCTAAATTCTCTCTAGTATTGGAAGAAA